GTTCCTGCTTCCCACTAAGCCTCCACTAATACTTACCTGGCTGGGAGGGTATGAGTGTCTTGCCATTGCTCCCCACGTGGTCTCCATTAACATCAGAGGAGTAGCCTTATTACTGCCGAGAGGTAGTGAAAATCTTGACTCTTCTCTAGGCCTCCTCTGACACCACCCCAGTGGCAAGGGGATTGGCTGCCACATTAAAGACTGCTAAGGGTGGAAGTCTAGGCTCCCCACTCAGGCTTTGCTTGCATGGGTGCAAGTGGGAACACATTTTATTCTATGGTCTTTTATTTGAGTAGAGCAGTTATTATCTAAAATTTTGTGATTTGCTAGGCTACTGCTTTCTTGGCCCTCTGGTTAGAAACAGTGGGCTTTTGGAGGGTCTTTTTTTTTGGTCTGCACATTGGTTTTTCTGGATTACCAGCTTCTTCAGCTTCAAGTCTGGGATATAGTTGTACCTATTGGGAGGAATAGGGAAAAGTACATCTACTCCATATCATGGAAGTGGAAGTCCCCCTCAATAATTTTTCAGAGTGCAAAGTTGCCTGAAACCAAAAAATGTGAAAACAAGTGACCTAAAGGAAATAAGAGACAAACCATATGGAAATCTGGTAAAGGAATGCTACAGAAAAGGAACAGGAAGTGGAATGATGAGGACCTTGGAGAAGTTGAAAAAATCACAAGTTGATCAGTGTGACTGGAGCATAGTGAGATAAAAGAGGAGTAGGACATGAAAGCAGAGAGGTAGGTGGGCCAAGTTGTGTAGGACCTTGTAAGGATTTGGGTTTTATTTTACCATGTGTGCAATGTGAAAGTACTACAGGGTTTTGAGCAAAGGAGTGTTGCTGTCTGACTTCTGTTTTAAGAGGCTCACTCTGGCTCCTGTGTGGAGAACAAACTGTTGGAGATAAGTGTAGAAATGGGGAGATCAATCATAGAGCTCTTGCTTAATCCAGGCAAAATCTGATGAGAGCATTTCTCACCACTTCTATTAAACATTGTACTGGAGGTTCTAGCAATTAGGCAAGAAAATGAAATAAAAGGCGTCCAGATCGGAAAGGAACAAGTTAAATTATATTTGTATATAACACAATCTTTTATACAGAAAATTCTAAGGAATCTATTAAAATAAACTATAGAACTAAAAAAGAGTTCATCTACTTATAATAACAACAAAAAAAAAAAACCTGTTGCCGTTGAGTCGATTCTGCTTATATCGACCCTATAGGACAGACTAGAACAGCTCCATAGGGTTTCCAAGGCTGTAAATCTTTATGGAAGCAGACTGCCACATCTTTCTCCTGCAGAAGGGCTGGTGGATTCAAACCGCTGACTTTTCGGTTAGCAGTCAAGTGCTTAACCACTGCACCACCAGGACCCTGTATCTAGTTATAAGATACAAATTTATTATACAAAAATCGATTGTATTTATATACAGTAGCAATAGACAAACCAAAAATGAAATTAAGAAAACAGTTGCATCTACAACAGAATCAAAAATAATAAAATGCTTAGGATTAAATTAACAAAAGCAGCACAAACCTTACACTCTGAAAATTTCAAAATATTGTTGAACAAAATTAAAGACGACAGATAAATGAAAGATATCCCATGTTCCTGGATCAGAAGACTTAATATTATTAAGATGATGTTGTGGATTGAATTGTGTCCCCCCACAATGTGTTTCAATTTGGCTGGACTATGATTCCCAGTATTGTGTTGTCCACCATTTTGTGACTAATGTGATTATCCTATGATGTTAATGAGGCAGGATTAGAGGCAGTTATGTTAATGAGGCAGGACTCAATCTACAGGATTAGCTTGTATCTTGAGCCAGTCTCCTTTGAGATATAAAAGAGAAATCAGCAGAGAGCGGGACCTCATGCCACCAAGAAAGAAGCACGGGAAACAGAGTGCATCCTTTGGACCTAAGGTCTCTGTCTTAGTCATCTAGTGCTGCTATAACAGAAACACCACAAGTGGATGGTTTTAACGAAGAGAAGTTTATTTCCTCACAGTTAAAGTAGACTAAAAGTCCAAATTCAGGGGGTCAGCTCCAGGGGAAGCCTTTTTCTGTCTGTCGGCCTTCTTCTCTTCAGTGTTCCCCCGGACTAGGAGCTTCTCTGCACAGGGACCCTGGTCCAAAGGACGTGCTCTGCTCCCAGCACTGCTTTCTTGATGGTATGAGGTCCCCCACACTCTGCTTGCTTCTCTTTCCTTTTATCTCTCAAGACCACACCCCAGGGAAACTCCCCTTTACATTGGATCAGGGATGTGACCTGGGTAAAGATGGTGTTACAGTCCCACCCTAATCCTCTTTAACATAAAATTACAATCACAAAATGGAGGCCAACCACACAATTCTGGGAATCATGGCACATTTTTGGGGGGTCATAATTCAAACCATGACAGTCTCTGTGCTGAGTAGCTCCTAGACCAGGGGAAGATGGATGAAAAGGACCTTCCACAAGAACAGACAGAAAGAAAAAGCATTCCCCAGGAGCTGGCGCCCTAAATTCAGACTTCTAGCCTCCTAGAGTGTGAGAGAATAAATTTCTGTTAAAGCTACCCACTTGTGGTATTCCTCTTACAGCAGCACTAGATAACTAAGACAGAATTTGGTACCAGGAGAATGTGGTGCTGCACTAACAGATACCTACAATGTGGAAGCAGTTTTGGAATTGAGTAATGGGTAAAGGCTGGAAGAGTTTTGTCTAATAGTAAAAGCCTAGATTGCCCTGAAGGACTGTTGGTGGGATTATGGACATCAAAGATGATTCTGGTGAGGGCTTAGAAGGAAGTGAGGAAAGCTGTAACACTGGAGACGGTGCAGACTGCGAGAAGCAGCAGCAGAGAAATGGTGGCAGCAGAACCAGGAGACTGGAATAAGATGGTGCAGGAGCCAACCCATGGAGTGAAAGAGCTGAGTGCCTTCGGACAGGAGGATTTCTGGAAGAGTAGGGTGCCTCCAGGCACTTATCAGTGGAGCTAGGCTTGCCGACCCATGGAGCAAGAGAGCTGAATGGCTTCCAGCCAAAGTTTACTGGCAGAGTGGGGTACTTCCAGACACTTATCGGTAGAACTAAAGAGCTTTGGAACATTTGCCTGAGCAGGGCAGATGCTGGGCTAGCCCATGGGCCCCAGGGGCTGAGAGGCCAAGGAACCAGGAAGCAGAAGCAGAACGGATAAGCAACACAGGAAGCAGAGCTGTCTCAGTCTAAAAGGGTAGGGCCATGACCTCTGGGGTCTCAAAGGGTGGATCCATGGCCACTGGGGTTTCAAAGGGTGGGTTCACAGCCTCCTAGGTTTCAAAGATTCAGATCTTCAACTCGGTTCTGGAGTGTGGGGCTGCCTTTTACGAGTGCCAGCAGGATGGGGCCAGATCTGCTGCCCAAACCTGTGGGGGTGGGGTTGCCATGCCCAAGTAGCAGAAGAACAGGGCCTGCTGGGCCTGAAGCGGTAGGGTTGCCACTCAGATGAACTAGTAGAATAGGGCGACCCAAATGCAAGGGAGCAGAGTTGCCGTTCCAGAGGGCCTGGAAGGCAGAGCTGAAGCCCAGGGCCGAGGGACCTCCACCCAGAATCCAGAGAGTGTAGCCAACACCCAGAGTCTGGAGGGCAGGGCCATTGCCTAAATGGTCTCAGAGAACAGAGGATTATTTTCAAGCCTTGAGAGCTAATGTAATGGGTTCTGCTGACTTGCTTGGTGCCTATTACAACTTATTTCCCTCCAGTTTCTCCCATTTGTAGAGGAAATATCTAGCTTATATCAGTTCCATCATTGTACTTTGGAAGCAGATAACTTGTATTTTAGATTTCACAGATGAAGAGGAATTTTGCAGAATATGGAATTTAGACTTGGAGTTGATTTAAGGCTTTGGAGATGATATGATGTGATGAAAGTGTTTTACATGTGGCAGGCACATGAATTTGAGGGGGGCAAAGGGTGAAATGTTATGGATTGAATTCTGTTCCCCAAAAATGTGTCAACTTGGCTAGGGTATGATTCCCAGGCACCTATTCAACAGAGATTTATTTTACACTGAATGAGTGCCAGGCATGGTCTGAGAGCACAGGTGCAGGAGGAACCAAATGAAGTCCCTGCCCAGAGAATCTTACCTGACAATGGCAGGAAGGCAGGTGATAAATTAGCAGAAGACAGCTGGGAGGGTGGAAAGACATTCCAACAACAGTTCAGATGGAAGTGGGGAGACAATACAGGCATCTGAGGAAGGGCATCCCAGGTGCCAGAGACCCCAGGGTCTAAGCAGGCCACAGAGGAAGAGGGAAAGAGAGGAGGGCCCAGCCTGGGGAGCTTTGGAGGGGCCTCAAGCTCTAAATGTGGAGGGAAGTGAGGAGACAGGAGGCTCATGCATGAGGTTAGAAGAGGGAGCACATGAATTTCCTTCCTGGGTCCCATGTAGTCATCTTAGCCCACCTCTCAGCTGAGCCCCTCCTGCCTTCCAGAAGCTGCGTCCTTGGCGTGTACTCTTCCCCCCTTCAGTATGTTGGCTTCACCAGGTGCCCCCGTGGTCTCTGGCAGGTTTGGGCTGACAGTGGCCTGGCCTCATGCACCAAGGAGCACCCAGGAGCCCTGTGGGGTGACTGGGCCCTGGCTGGAGCCAAGAGGTTAGCTAGCCAACCAGAGTCTCTCTGAGAAGAATTTTAACTAGGAAACAGGGAAAGATGGAGCCAGTTAACGGGAGTAAGGGGCAGAGGATGAGGAGAGGCCAGACCATTTGAAGCCAGATTATAGGAGACAGAAGAGATGTGGGGGGCAGAAGCTTTTCAGAAGGGGGAGATCACTAAGCAAACATGAAAAAGGGGGAAGAAGGGTTTTTCATCAACTACTTTGAGAAGATCTTTGTGATCCTTGGAGCAAAGACAAAAAATCTGCCTAGGAGATCCAGGTGTGAAGGTGGCCATTCCTAGCCCAGCAGACTTAGCCCCTGCCCTCCCTGCACACCCAGCCCCTGTTCCTCTTTCCCTCCACACCTCATCAATGTCTAGCCAAGTAGAACCTGTGGAGAGAAGGGACATAACAATTTCAGGCTCCTTCCCTTCCATGCTTACTCAGATGCCAAGTGCCAACAACACTCCCTCCTCAGGCCACCTTGCCACTCCCTATATTCCTGTCAGACCTCACTGACTGCAACCACATATGGTCCCACACTCATCTCTCAGGTTCTTTTCCCTAAAATGTGATGTACACAGTCCTTACCTGCTCACTTTTTTTTGGCTCCTGTGTAAGGGACTTTAAAAAAAATGAGGTAGCTGATAAGATCTGAAATGGTCAGCTTGAGGATTGGGTACAATTGCTTGGTTGCTGGTTCTGTTTTCACCCTAGGAAGGGCCACCTTCCACGCTGTTTCTAAGAAAGCAATGTCCAGCAATGTTGACCTAACTACACTGACCCCCCATCACATACCCTTGTAATTACCACACTGTAATCAATCTAAGATATGTATATCCTTTTAAGCCAATCGCCGCCTTATGAGCTTGTGTTACAGGAAGTCTTGCCTTATGTATGAGTTCCTGCCACAGGAAGTACTGCCTTAAGAGTTCCCGCCACAGGAAGTCCCACCTTATAATGATCTACTACCAATCAAGTAATATCTTTCAGTGATCTATGTTTGTAAATACAAATCAAGTACTGTACTTCATGTCCTTTGTTTTCTTCTTATAAAACATCACGGCTGAGTTGCCATATTGGATTACTGAATTCCAGTGCACTGAGTTCAGTCTATCTCCAGCTTGAGCTGTCTCTTTATTTTCAATAAATCTCTCAATTTTACATTAATCAGAGTACAGATAGTTACTCTATGACTAATGGCATAGTCAGCAGGATTTCTGAAGAAATATTATCTTCTACATTCCTGAGAAGTCATGGAACTGCCCTGTCCTAGTACCAGCAAGGGACTCTTGTGCCCACAGCCATCTCCTCAAATTCTCTGGGTTCGCTGGAGGTAAGCTGCTCAGATTGAAGCCTTGCTCTTATTGTGAAGATGGCTCTTTGAGAGATTTATTGGCTATCTTTTCTCTATACTTTCATTTTCTACTCATTTCCTGAGCATCTTACCAAATTAGTAAACCATCTTGTGGTCAGTCTATTTTACTGAACTCCCTTTTCTTTCTGGTACACCATAAGGTTTTCGTGCACATTTAGGTCTTTAATACTTGCAAGTTTCTCCATAAAATGTGGAGTGATACGTCCAAGACTGAAGCAGGATCCCCTAAGGAAATGTTTGCCAATTATATGACTAAGTATTATGGCCACGGTTCAGTCTTATATTTAGGCCAATGGCATGTGCTTATGAAGGGAAATTTAAAGGACCAATAACCATTGTGGGGGTCGTTTGAGTTAACTAAGTTGAACTGTCTGTGCAGCAAATTAGAGGCTAAGGGCTTACGAATAAAACTAAAGCAATGAGAAGCATTTTGTAATTGGCACATGGAAGCTTCCAAAAGAAATCATAAAGTCATCTCCTTGTAGAAGACTGTTTCAAAACAAGCTAAACAAATTGAAGAATTACAGTGTCAGAGCTCTGTAACCTCGATTACTACTTACCCAGCAGCAGCCCTTATACCCCTTTCCCAAAATGATTCCTTTTCCCAAAATAGCTCCCTTTCCCAAAATGGCTCCTTTCTCAAGGTGGCTCCCTTTCCCAAAATGGTGAAGTCCCTGGTGTCTGTAGTCCAACCCCAGCCTCTGATGCCTGCCTACCCTCCTTTCCCTCTGCCCCTCCATCAGTAACTCCCCTGTTGCCCTCTTTACCTACCTACTCCACTGAAAAGCCCCTTACGGAACCTCTATATTATCTCAAGGAACCTCTAGAAGAAGTAAAATGAATTTGTGAAATGCCTTTTAAAATTAATATCTTGAGGCTCAGAAGCCACCACAAGTTACTTTTGCCTCCTGGTCAAAAGCAGAACTTCATGCTGTTGTTAGGGAATTTCCTAACCCTTGTGAAGATCCTCACACATTCACTCGATAATTTAGACTCTTGGCTGATACCTACGAACCTGGTCTGGCAAACTTATATAATTCAATACATTCACTGATATGGCCAGGAAACACTCAAAGGTGGATGGAAAAGGCCTGATAGAAAACTCCAACATTATCCCTAACAATCTAGCCTGTTTCTGGCATGGAACTAATAGCACAGACCAAAAGTATTGTCACAGACCTTACTGAAGCTATCCCAAAGATTCCCCTCTGCCAAAAAAATATATATAAGACCAAGATTCAGGGTTACAAACAAAATGAAAATGAAAATGTTAGTAATTATAGGGAGTGTTTGACTAAACTTTTCCGAGAACACTGTAGTTTAAAGCTAGAAAGAGTCTGGATCCTGTATTGTTTTCAGTTCCCTTTTTGTCAATGGTCTCCATCTGGAGCTTGCTGAGTTAGTCAGACATTACAAACTAGATTGGGAAAATGAAAACACTTCACAGTTAGCCACTCTTAAACAACAAGCTAGGGAAGAACTAAAGCTAAACAAAATCAACTTACTGCCCTGCAATTACAGCAGTTGCAGACCCAGCCTCAAAGTAATTGCCCCACACAGAACAGGTTCACCCGACTTATGGCCAAGATTGGGCCCAATAACTTGTCCCTTGTTTATTATGACTATAAAAAGCCTGTATTTTGAAAACGATTGTTTAAAACTAAAAAATAAACTGGGCAACCTAACACCAGATGTAGCCCAGAAGCAGATAGAATGAAGGGGCTCCAGGGACAAATCTGTGGTTTTTCCTATGGTAGCACTAAACTCTCAGGGAGAAACTACTATTCAAATAAATAGAGAACCATGTAAATTTTAATTGACACAGGTGTTACCTTAACTGCAATAAACCCTACAAATTTACAAAAGCCCTTGCTGTGGAGTAATAAAACCTAAAGAGTCAGGGGGATCACTAATAAAGAACAGATTTTAACTCATTCCCAGCCTTTTTCTGTCTCTTTAAGTTCTATAGAGGATATGCACCCATTTTTACTCAGCTTAGATAACTCCAGTAAATACTAGGAAGAGATCTGTTATCCAAATAGAATTGTGAAATAAAATTCTCAGAACAGGAATCTGAAGCCAATCAACAAATAGACTCTATGATAGAAAATACTATAAGTGAATAAGCCTGTTCCTATTTGCAAGCACTCAGCTTACCACCACAAGAAGGTCATTCCCCTGTTTTATCCAATTCTATGGAATGTCTGTCTTCTGTACTCGGAAGTTTATGGGCCATTACTTCTACTGATGTTGGTCAGGTCCCATCAGTGGAACCAATTAAAATTCAAATAGATACCTCTAAACCCTTACCTAAAATTTCTCAATACCCTTTAAAATGAGAAGCTAAGGAAAGACTTGTTCCTATAATTCAAGATTTTTTGAATAAAGTCTTAATAATCCCTTGCACCACTCCAGTATTCCCTGTTAAGAAACCCAACATTTGAGGCTGGAGATTTGTACAAGACTTCTGTGCTATTAATTGTATAGTAATTCCAAGATTCCCCGTAGTTTCTAACCCTCACCTACTCCTCTCTAATGTCCCCCCTGAAGTGACTCACTTTACAGTAGTCAATCTTTGCAGTGGTTTTTTGTTTTTGTTTTTTTTTTGCATTCTAGTCCATCTGGACAGTCAATAATTGTTTGCCTTCACTTGAGGGGACCAACAATTTACCTGGACTGTCATGTCCCAAGGTTTTACCAAGTCCCCCACCTATTTTTCTCAGATATTACATGCTGATTTACAGACTTTACAGTTCATTCAGGGGCCTACATTATTACAACATGTGGATGATTTACTGGTCTGTTCTAACTCCCAACAGGCATATGTTATGATAGTAGCCTGCTGTTACAGCATTTGGACAGAGGAAGTCACAAAGCCTCTAGAGAAAAATTACAGTTAGCCCCACCTTTTGTTAAGTACTTGGGATATATTATTTCAGCAAAATAGGTCACTATAGACCCCAAAAGAGACCATCTTAGCTTATCCTGTCCCTACTGTCAAAAAACAGTTAAGAGGTTTCTAGGACTCTGAGGCTATTGCAGAACTTGGATACCTATTTTTTCTTTGCTGGCTCAACCTCTTTACCATTATCTAAGGGATTCAGAGCCTGACCTCTTCCAGCTCTCCAAGGATGGCCAAAAGGACCTCCCTCAACTAAAAGAAGTATTAATTAACACTCCTGCTCTAGGGATTCCTAATTATAATTTAGACTTTTCACTTTTTGTCCACGAGATTTCTTGGAATGCTCTAGGAGTCCTCACTCAAAAACACAAAGGACAACGGAGACCCACTGGTTATTATATCATCCAGCTGGATCCCATCACAAGATGCTACCCCCTTGCCTTAGAGCATGCGCTGCGAACTCTAGTCGAGACAACAGCAGGTATTGTTTTAGGATATTTTCTTGATATTTATGTCTCTGATGCAGTGTCAGCCATTTAAAATTCGGCTTATTCAACACCTGTCAGCCAGCAGGCTGACTTCTTATAAAGTTCTCCTTTTGGCCACTTCTAATAATCAGTTACATACTGTAACCTCTCTGAATCCAGCTACACTGTTACCTTTACCTAATAATGTGACCATCCTCCCTATGATTGCTCAAATCTTACCAAATGGCTTTTGCCTCCTAGACCAGATTTACAAGAAATGCTTTTATCAAATCCTGATTTAATTATATTTGTTGATGGGTCATATTTAACGCCTGAATCTACCATCTCCTCATTACCGGGGAGGATATGCAAATGCTGTGACTGCTCACGAGAAATCATTGAACTCACTGCCAAAGTAGTTTTGGATTATCAAATTGCCCTAGATTTCTTGTTAGCCCAGCAAGGAGGGGTCTGTCCTATAGCAAATGCCTCTTGCTGCACCTGGGTTAACACCTCAGGAGAGGTGAAACAAGATATTAAACTAATGCACCAGAAGGCTACTTGGCTCCATATACCTCCACCCTCAGATGCCCCTTTTTTAGATATTTTCAGCTGGCTACCCTCAGGTGTTGGATCATGGATTAAGTCAATATTGTCAACTGGATTAATAATACTTACTGTAATAACCATAGGGACTCTTAAATGTTGTATAAAACTTTTGACAAATGCCATTACCCAAAAGACCCATGTAATTATGAAAAGAATAATGTACATTGACAGTACTTATATTTCAGATGGATTTGAGCCCACTCCTTGAGTAAGCCATCAGTTGTCATGTTATTCCTCTAACGTGGCCTGCCCTGCACTACCCTTCAAATAGTAAAACCACAGAAACTAAAGCTTTGGCATGGTGAAGATGTCAAATAGTGGCCAGCTACCTCACAATGTTCTGCTGCTATTCATAGTTTGATTCCATTTTTTTTTTTAATCCACAGTCGACGCCCCTGGAAGTGACAGTCAAGAGATCAAACGACATGTTACATTTGGACAAACATGCTGCAAAAAAAAAAAAAAAAAAAAAAAACTTTTTAAAGTGTTAAAAAGCAAAGATGTCACATTGAGGACTAAGATGCACTGGACCCAGACTATAATATTTTCAGCCACCAGATATGCATGTGACAGTTGGATGATGAATAAGGAAGACTGAAGAAGAATTGACACCTTTGCCTTAGGGTGTTGGTGAAAAACATTGAATGTGCAGCAGACTGCCAAAAGAACGAACAAATCTGTCTCGAAAGACCTGCCAGGCAGGGTTTTGTTCTGTTGTGTGTGGAGTCACTATGAGTCGGAGCTGACTTGATGGTGCCTAACGATAATAACTTTTCAAATGCATAGCACCTGAGGTCTTAAAGAGTTATTAAATAAGCAGCCATCCAGAATAAGCATATGCTCAAAGTCTATGCAGAAGAAAGCCTTCTTTCAAAATAGTGGTCAGTGAACTGATCAAAGAATTTCTATCAAAATCCTTAATCAAAAGGAGGGAATGCATAAGGGAATTTACAAAAATTGAGACACTTGATAAGATCTAAAATCACTGGCTTGAGGGTTGAGTGCAATTCCTTGGTTGCTGGTTCTGTTTTCGCCCTAGCAGCAGCCATCTTCCATGCTATTTCTAAGAGAAGAATGTCTGATAATGATGACATAACTACACTGCAACCCCCCCATCACATACCCTTGTAATTACTGCACTGTAACCAATCTAAGAAAGTATATCCTTTTAAGCCAATCGCCTTATGAGCTTGCACTACAGGAAGTCCTGCCTTACAAGCTCCTGCCACAGGAGGTACTGCCTTATAATGATCTACTATCAATCAAGTAATGTCTTTCAATGATCTAAGTTTGTAAATATCAGTCAAGTACTGTACTTCATGTCCTTTGTTTTCCCCTTATACAACATCACTGCTGAGTCACCATATTGGATTACTGGATTCCACCGCATGGAGTTCATTCTGTGTCCAGTTCAAGCTGTCTCTTTCAATAAATCTCTCAATTTTACATTAATCAGAGTACGGATAGTTACTCTATGGCAGCTCCCTGTTGCCTCAGGATAAATCATGATCCACCTATAAGATAAAATAGGCAGTTGTTAGGAATATTTTTTAAGATTTTTAGTTTTTTTTTCTGAATCTACATATAATTGTATTCTTATTCACAATTTGGTGCATTTCCTTCTCACTTTTCATGCTTCTTTAAATATATTTTTAGATTCACCTATTCATACTTTGGAGCCCTGGTGGCGCAGTGGTTAAGAGCTCAGCTGCTAACCAAAAGATCAGCAGTTCAAATCCACCAGCTGCTCCTTGGAAGCCCTATGGGGCAGTTCTACTCTGTCCTATAGGGTCACGATGAGTCAGAATCAACTCAAAGGCAACGGGTTTGGTTTTTTTTGGATTCATGCTTTGCCACATTTCTTTATTTCTCCATCTATCTGACCATATTAGGCCCAAGATGGAGTCACATGCTAAGCCTCATGTTAGCAAATTGAAACCTAACTAAGTCTATTTCCTGTAAATGCCTGAACTTTCCAGAAGCCTGTCAAAAGAAACTGAGTCAATAATAAAATTAATCTATTGGATGAGGTTATTCAGGCAGAAAATTCAAGAATTGGGTAGCACCAAACCAAAAGTGGAAATGTACTCCCCTAAGTATTAGCAGTAACCGGCTTTTTATTGCCAAAACAAGGAAGCAAAAGAAGCTTATTTCTGATTGGCTTATACAATTTACTATTGAAGTGCTATCAGGATTTCATTGGTCAATGAGGGTGAAAGTGCTGTCAGAATCTCATTGGTCAACGTGGGTCACCTGATTTACAGGAAAGCTAGGCTTAAGTTTCAATAAAGACAAGTCTTAGGGACCTTGTCCACTCAACCACCCATGCCATTTTGTCAGCCGTATGACTCCATTTTTATTTCACTTAACAAGCCAAAACCAATTAGGACTGGCCTGCTCCACTTAACCTAGTTCAAAATTTCCTCTTAATCCTAAATAAGGAAAGAAAATGCCCACCAGCCATCTGAAATGCCCAGTATAGCTTCCTTGTTCCTGTGTGTCTGTGCCTATAAAATGTTTCTGCTTTGTACTGCTCTTCAGAGCCCTTGTTTAATTTCCTCCATCCCCTTCCCAATTCATGAACTGCAAATAAAGCTCATGAGTCCATACACAAAATTTAATCTTGTGGGAATTTTATTTTTAACACTATCTACACACACACCCCACACATTTTGTTGTTTTTGTTGAATCATGTGAGCCTTTGTTGCCATCACACTCCTTCACCCTTAAATACTTTATCCTGACAATCTCCTAACAACAAGGTCATTTTCCCCTATGCACAATGTTATCACCCACAGGAAATTTAACATCCTTTCAATGCTATTATCCAATATAGTCCATATTTAAATTTCCCCAGTTGTCCCAATGTCTTTTTCCTATCCGTCATCCAATCAAGGTTCGTGTATCCATTTTTCCTCTCTGTGTTTTTATTAGTTGCTTTCCAGTCAACTCTGATTCATGGTTCATGGTGACCCATGTACAACAGAAGGAAAGATTGCCCAGTTCTGTGCTATCTGCAGGATCACTGGTATGCTTGAGTCCATTGATTTGGCCACTGTGTACTTTGAGTGTCTTCCAACCTAGGGGGCTCATCTTCCAGCACTATACTGGACAAAATCCATAAGGTTTTCATTGGCCAATTTTTTGAAGTAGATCACCATGCCTTTCTTCCCAGTCTTTCTTAGTCTGGAAGCTCACCAGGCCTTTCTTCCTAATCTGTCTTAGTCTGGAAGCTCTGCTGAAGCTTGTCCACCATGGGTAACCCTACTGGTATTTGAAATACCAATGGCATAGCTTCCAGCTTCAAAGCAATACACACACCACCACAGTACAACAAACTCACAGACAGGTGGTGTCCTGTCTCTTTAGTCTCCTGTAGCGTAGAACATTTCCCTAGGTTTGACATTTTCTGAGTCCAAACCTGTTTGTGTGGTTGTTTTCTCAGGATTAGATTCAGGCCAAACATTTTTTGGCTGCAACTTCCACACGGGGGATTCTGTGGCCTTTCTTCGTGCATCACATCAGGGGCTCAGAGTGTCAGCATGGCCCACTCTTGGTGATGTTAACTTTGGTTATTTCATTAGGGTGGTGTCTGCCAGATTTCTTTATTGTAAAGGTACTGTCTTAGTTACCTAGTGCTGCTATAACAGAAATACCAGAAGTGGATAGCTTTAACAAACAAAAATTTATTATCTCACAGTTTAGGAGGCTAGAAGTCCAAATTCAGGGTGGCAGCTCCAGGGAAAGACTTTCTGTCTCTGTGGGCTCTAGGGGAAGGTCCTTATCATCAATCTTCCCCTGGTATAGGAGCTTTTCAGTGCAGGGATCCTGGCTCCAAAGGATGCTCTTTCATATCTCGAAAGAGAGTGACTCAAATACAATCTAATCTTGTAGATTGAGTCCTGCCTCATTAACATAACTGCCTCTAATCCTGCCTCATTAACATCCTAGAGGTAAGATTTACAACACATAGGAAAATCACATCAGATGACAACATGGTGGACAATCACACAGTACTGGGAATCATGGCCTAGCCAAGTTGGCACACATTTTTGGGGGACACAATTCAATCCATAACAGGCAACTTTTCCTTTGTAATGAGTTACTGGTCTGTGGGATGACAGCATGCACCATAAATGTCTTTTAGAAACTATGTTAGCATCATACAACCTTGTATCCTGTTTTTCACTTCACAAATTGTGAATGTTTTCTCATATCATTAAGCATTCCTCAAAAAATGCTCTCTAGTGCTGCATAAATTCCAACTTATGAATTTAAACATGCTTACTAGGATACCTGGTGGTGCAGTGGGTAAGCGTTCGGCTGATAACCAAAAGGTCAGCAGTTCAAATCTACCAGCCACTCCTTGGAAACCCTATGGGGGCAGTTCTACTCTATGAGTCGGAATCGACTTGATGGCAATGGGTTTGGTTTGGTTTTGGTACTAGGATGTCAACTCCATGACAACAGTGGGGATCCTTATGTTTTACCCATTGCCATACTCCTAGCAGAGCCCTGGTGGCACAGTGGTTAAGAGCTATGACTGCTAACCAAAAGGTTGGCAGTTCAAGTCTACAGGCTGCTCCTTGGAAACCCTATGGGGCAGTTCAACGCTGTTGGAATCAACTTGACCACAATGGATTTGGTTTTTTTTGGTACTCCCAGCACCGAGAACAGTGCCTGGCACATGGTAGGAGTTCAATAAACATTTGTTGAATGAATGACTATAGCTTATGTTTAATTTTTCAATATCATAGATAGTGCCATAGCAAACTTTCTTGTATATAATCTTTGAAGCATTTATTTAATGAGGATAGTGTTTATAAGAAGGGAAATGTTTATGTTAACAGTGAAAAAATAAGGATGCAAAATCATATATATGCTGTCATCTGGAAAACATAAGGATATGCAAAAAGAACCATCTGGGAGAAAATAAATGGGAAAATTAGCAGGGGTGATTCCAGAACATTTGGACCGTGGAAGGTTTTGACTTATTCTGAAATTTTCTCATATTTTCCACAATTAGAATATATTATTTGTATGCAGAGAAGCAGCAGCAGTTTTCCTTTTTAAAGTTAACTTTGTAAGTTGAGAATAGGTAAGACCATGAATTTGGTTAAAAAAAAAAAAGACCATAGTTTGGGTATAAAGCCAAATTCCATTTTAGGCAACATTAACTGCAGGAGAGAGTAGATTCCCCGAAGTGCCACGATGCTGCATGTTTGAGGCCAATCACATCTGGAATATAGGCATACCGTATTTTATAGCACTTGGCTTTACTGCACTTTGCAGATACTGCGTTTTTTACAAATTGAAGGTTTATAGCAACCCTGGGTTGAGCAAATCTATCAGTGCCATTTTTCCAACAGCATGTGCTCAGTTCATGTCACTGTGTCACGTTTTGGTAATTCTCACAATATTTCAAACTTTTTCATTGTATCTGTTATGTGATCTGTATTCAGTGATCTTTGATGT